CATATTTTGGCTCTTGTGTACTTGTTTAAATTTTTTTCAGGTTCACCATGAACTTGCATCTCAGCAAGCATTTTGTTGTTAAGTGTTCGAGTTGGTTCAAACTCTATCAGCCCTGTAAAGCGTTTCTGAGGAGCAGCTAGTGAATTTGAGCTGCCAATCTTGAGGCTCACACTGACCTTGTGGTTCAGTGCTTATCTTACAGTGCCACACCAGGACTCCACAGTTAATACATACACAGGTTTATTCCAGACAAATATTATGTTTCTGCAATCAGTGGACAGCTACAGACAAGTCCTCACAGTAATAAACTTGTCTTAGTCTTGTAAGAGTACCTTCAAAAAAAGGTCCAATGAATACAGTGACTTTCAAGGAGATCTGCTGCGCCAATTAAGTTAAGCACAGAGAGATCAGTTCAGAGGTGACTGATCTGTGACTGCTTTATGGAGTTTCTAAGGGGTAATACAACACTCGTCTATCCATCTGTCAAACTGTGGTGTCTTGTGTACTGCTATGATGCTAGCAGCTATGCCACCAGTATTTTAAACACCAGCAGGGTATCCCCATGGTGACAGATTTCAGAGGAGCTTCCAGAGTAAGACACAAGGAAGAAGGAAAGGTGGATATCTCTAAATAGTTAGCCTCTCACTGATAACCTATGAATAACAGCAGAACAATGTCTGATGTAGTGCCAGAAGATAAGCCCCTCACCTTAGAAGGCACTCAAAATATGACTGGGGAACAGTTGCCTGCCTCCACAAAGTAGAGCTGACCTTAATGATGTGGAATGAAGTAAAGCTTTCAGGACAGAACTTTCATTTGCTGATGGGTACAACTCAAAATGAGAAGAAACAGCTTCAAACATCCATGGATAATCAAATGTGAAAGGTACAAAATATGAATCTAGAAAAAATTGGAAATTGCCAAAAACGAAACGGAATGCAAAAAGATCAGTATCCTAGGCATTAGCTGAAATGGACTGATACAGACATTCTGAACTGACATTCCTAAGGTTTGCTACACAGGGAACAACAAACTGAAGAGGAATGGCATCATGATCATTGTCAAAAAAGCAATTCAAGATCTATCTTGATGTACAATGCTGTCTGTGATAGGATAATATCTATATGTCTACAAAGAAGACTAGTTAATAACACTATTATTCAAATTACCCACCAAATAGGAAAGCCAGTGATGATGAAGTTGAAAAAAATCAATCAAAATCTTCAGTCTGAAACTGATCAAACATGCAATCAAGATGTATTAATAGTTACTGGAGATTAGAATAAGAAAATTAGAAACAAAAAGGAAGGATCAGCAATTGGAAAAAATGGTCTTGGTGACAGAAATGATACTGAAGATATACTGATAGAATTTTATAAGACCAATGACTTATTCATTGCAAATATCTTTTTAAAACAACACAAACAGCAACTATACACATGGACCAGATGAATATATAGGAATCAAATTAACTGTATCTGTGGGAAGAAATGACCCTATACAGGATTTCTAAGGAGCAGTTGGTGAGTTTGAACTGCTGACCTTGGGTTCAAACCAACTTTGTGGTCCAGTGCTTTATCCCACAGTGCCACACTAGAACTAACTTGGTTAAATTGTACAAATGCTGGCTATATAAAAACATAATTGCAAATAAAAATATGAGTATGACATGAATCCCACCTCTGAAAGGAATCATAATAATAAAGTACACCTGGTGTGTAGAAAAGAGGGAATGCCTTTGTTGGTGTGAATGGGTAGGTGGTCAGTGAAATAACCACAGGTTTCAGTTGTTAAATGTTGTAAAACTATCTCAAACATCTGACTAAAATTATGTTTCTAATGAATTGCTAATGTTAGGTCATAATCTTTAAAAGCTGTAATTTAAAAGTTAATTTAAACAAAATAAATCCTCAGAGCCGAGGCAGCTAGTGTTCAATGCCAGGTTATTTTACTGCAAAAATAACTTCTTTTAAATTTAGGGAAAAGTTTCGAACTTCATTGTACTTCTATTGTTTTTATTGCTCGCTATGTATTACTGGGAGTCCTGGTGTGGCACTGTAGGATCAGCATTGGACTGCTAACCACAAGGTTATGGTTCAAACCCTATCTAGGGTTGCTATGAGTCAGAATTAAAATCAATGGCACTTAACATATATTACTCAGGATCCCTGGTGGTGCTGTGGGTTAGGAGCAAGGCCAAACTCACAAGCTGCTCCACAAAAGAAAGATGAGGCTGCCTTCTCCTAGGAAGATTTAGTTTCAGAAACCCTGAACAGGGTTTCTGTGAGTTGGAATTGGCTGGATGGCAGTGGGTTTGGATTGGCTTTTTATGTTACTAGACTTATTGATCATTCTAAACCATACTGATCCTTTCTCAGCTTCCTGTTGTTGTTGTTGTTAAGTGCAGTTGAGTCGGTTCCGACCCATAGTGACCCTGTACAGGGTTTCTGAGGGTGTAAATCTTTACGGGAGTAGAAAGCCTCATCTTTCTCCCGCGGAGCGCCTGGTAGTTTCGAACTGCTGACCTTAAGGTTCGCAGCCTGATTCGTAACCACTACGCTACCAGAGCTCCATCAGCTTCCTGCAGTACTTATTATTTACACAGTTGATTTGTCCCCTTGACGTCTCTTATACAGCTTGCTTATGCCCTTTGAAGTTATTTTTTACTTTTTGCTTACTTGTGTGTGTAAAATTCTTAAAGACAGCAACCAAGTAAATGCCTTCTTTTTGCCTACTTGATATCTGGCAGCTGACATAGTAAAACTATCCATTCAACTGTTTTGACTCCTCTCCTATAGACCTTTTGTTGTTTTTCGGTAACCTTCAAAAAGAACATAAGACTATAAACCTCTGCTTAAATACAAGTCTTTTTGCCATTTCTCCTGATTCCACTGGCCATATTCTAGCAGATTTTAATTGTTCCTCTGAATTATCATAGCACCAAAAACAAATGTCTGTTAATAGCACTTGTCTCAGAAATTTATACTTTGTATTTATGCCTATTTTATACATTTACATGTTTTTTGAGAGTAAGAATAAATAAATAATTATGTATTATTTATTTTGATTTCTCCAGTGTCTGACACTATGCCATCTAGTAGAAGGCAATCAGTAAATGTTCACTGACTAAATACATTCATAAAATATATTTCTAAAATGCAACTTCCTTTAGGTAAATTTCATCTGATTTCCAAGTTAGGAAGAGTGGAAAAAAGTGTTGAAGCTCACTGTGGAGCAATACTTGCAGGAAGATGGAATTATGAAGGAACAGCATTGGTTACAGGTAGGTGGTCTGCATAAATGACATTTAAAATAA